ACACACACACACACACACACACACACACACACACACACACACACACAATTGCAGACAATAGACAAGACAAAGAGATCAGAAGGGTACAGAGTACAATAGCCTTCACTCAACTGAACTTGACGATGCAAACAAGCCTATTTACACACGCATACAATAATTACCTGTGATTGTCGTCTACGCGTTGACTGGGCTGGGTGTGTTTTTTTATTATAGAGTATGTATTTTATCCACATTCTTGTAGAAATCATGGGAATGTGATTGCCAGGGAGCCGACTCACACAAGTACACACACGCATGAACACACGGGGTATTTCCTCGGCTTTTACGGTAATAGCTTTGTGTTTAAGAGGTTTGCGTGGCAGCCGGGTTAGTCCGGCAAGAGAGAGAAGTGGCCTTAAGGGGTCACTGTCAACATACATACTGACTGAGAACCAATCAATAGTTGGGGTGGGGGGATGGGGGTTAGAGAGGGAAAAGAGGAGCGGGGCAGAAAGAGAGAAGGAGCTACGGTTGTTTCAGGGTTCAACTTAAATCACTGAGATTTCGTGACAGTATCTATAGATTTCAAATTGAAGAGTGAGAAGCTTCAGGAACATATGAGGAACATATGTGTGTTCGCAATTTTTACAGATCACGGCTCTGTTTAGGGTTGTGTAAGCGTAGTATCGGACTTTAGTGTCTCACTTCAACAATCTTTCCCAATTTACAATATAGACAAAGCTATTAAAAGCATCTCTTACAGCACAAGTGAGTGAAATCTGATCCTTAGATTTCATTTGTATGCTTCGTCTCAATAATCACGTGCTTATAATAAAATTGACTCTCTCAAAAATAATATTTTCATACAAACTGCATAATGTACATGCATACATTACATCATGTGGAACTTGATTCTTTTTCTAAAGTAAACTGAAACAAAGATTTATCTTTGTGTAAGTCACATCACTGTTTTTTCAAACGTGTTTGTCTTGCAGCCCTGAAATGTGTGAATTTATATGTGCATCTCTACTGCCCCTCTTAATTTCCCATAAACAGATTTCATATTTTTCAATACATATTATGCAAAACATGAAATCTATGTCTTGTAATCTTTCCTCACAGATACAGAGATTGCAGATGCTTGTGTTTGTATCTATCTGTATGTATGTGTGAGTTAGAGAGAGCTTTTGGTAAAGGATTTGTTTGCCCAGTAGTGACGGCAGCATTGATTCACACTCATCTTTGTCGATGCTTATAAGCCCCTGGATACATCATAACTCTGTGTGTGTGTGTGTGTGTGTGTGTGTGTGTGTGTGTGTGTGTGTGTGAACCTCATGGCATCTGTGTATGTGTTTGAATACATGTACCTCTTTGTAAATGTCCTAAAGGCCCTTTCTTTGTACTATTTTGCCCCTAAAAAGGATTTCCCAATTTTGTGTATGTTAGTAAACTGCTAAACCATGAGACGCCTTTATTCCTGGAAAGACCCTAAAATCAACTCTACATTGCACTATGATGCATTGGACTACATTTTAAGCCTGAAAGTCAGAGTAAACTTGATTCTGCATATATAAAAGCAATAGTGTTGTGTGTGTGTGTATGCGTGTCGCTTCATGTCTCTTCCTAATCCGGGTTTTATTAGAGCCATGTTTGTTTTTAAGTGAACACAACATGTGTTGAATGGTCAGTACATGTAGAGTTATGTGCCTTGGTTATGTATTACTCACTGACTTGTGGAATGTGACGGAGTAAGAGAGTAAGCCTTTTGACCTTTCCACGCAGCTACACACAGATGCGGTATCAGCATCTAGCAACAATATTAACATCCTCAAGGGAGAAAATGGGGTATTTTAGTAACGTAATATGGACGTTCTACTGTCAACCAACAAAGCTGAGGTGAAGCATTTGACATGTTTGTGAATGTGTGTTAGAGAAAGAGAGAGCGAGAAAGAGGAAAGAGGTTATAGATACTGTTGCGACACACACGCACACACACGTACATCAAAGCAGAGATTGGTTTCAGGAAATGTTTTATTATCTGTTCTCTTCCAAAGCTGCTAATCACAACCACTCTCTTTCATCTTCGCATCCCCCCCCCCTTTCCACCCCTCTGATTTCTTTCTCTCTATCTCCCTCTCTCTTCCACACTTGTCTCCCCCCCCCTCCATCCCGTGTGCAGTGGTGTCTGAGAGTTGGAAAAGTCAGATAGAACATTTTTTGATAGAAAGAAAGAAATATGCGAAGCAGATCTGGTTCCCTGTAGGTTTCCCAGTTTCCCCTCTTTAGAGAACAGACCCTTCCCTCTTTCCTTGTTCCCTGTCTCCTCCTATCTCTGAGATCGAGGAACAGTGAGATCATTTTCCTGGAGAATCCCTCTCGCTCCGACAATACCCTTATTCCAAGTTGTTATAATAAAAGAAATATTGGAAATACTGGGAACATACAACCTGCTGGTTTCGAGACGGCAGGGAGCTCGACAAAACAGCAAACAGCAGGGAAAACCATGTCCCAATCATTCCCAAATCATTGCACAACAAAGGACAAGGGCCTCTGAATTGCCATAATCCTGTGTTTTACCGCTGAGCTGTGATGGGCTCTGTATATTTGCAGTGTGAAACGTTTTTTTAGGCTTTGGGTTTAGGGTCAAGCTTACACTTTTTCCTTTGATCTTGTAAATTCTCTCGTCTTGATTAGGTACATTTTGTGTTTTGCAGCTAAGTTGCCACAAATCTGTGATTTCTACCTGGAAAAAAATGCCTCACTACATGGTGTAACTTAAATCTTCAGCCTGCGTGAAAGATTTGTATTTTTGGAATATGTTTACGTAAAAACAAAGAGACATTTCAACATTGGCTACATAATTAGAGAAATAAAGACGGGTGCAGAGAAACTTTTGAGAAAGACAGAAACAGAAAGAAACAGGTTAATATAGTGATAAAGAATGAAAGAAAGAGGGAGAGCGGGATGTCGTGCTTTAAATCTCCCCTCACCTGTCTCTTTCTCCTCTCCGCTCCCTCTTTTCCTTCCTCCCTCCCTCTTCTCTTCCCCTCTATTGCTCTTTGTCTGATCCCTCCCTCTCCACCTGCTCTTCTCCCTCGCTCTCTCTCTCCCTCCTTGTCTCCACCCCTTCCTCCTCCCCTCCCCGCAGCCATTGGTCAAGTAACCACCAATAGCAGCAGAACCGGGGCCTGAGGGACTGCATATGCAAAACGCTGCTTAATATTCATGAGCTGCTATCGGGGCTTTAAGTCGTTGATTAGGACAGCGGCACAGCTTTCCGTCCCAACTGCCTGGCTGGCTGGCTGTGTGTGCACCTATAGCCCCCATCTCCCTGGCTGTCACATACACACATCGCGCACACACACTCACGCTCCCTCACATCTACACACACTCAGAGCCGATCAGTCCAGGCAGCGCACAGCCTGGTAATTGTATTGCTCCCTCCAAGCAGAAGGAAGGACCGAGAGAGAGAGGAAGACCGGAGAAAGAAGAGGAGGAAAGATATAAAAACTTTGATTTTTTTGAATTTTCTTGTTTGTTTTTTTTTCCTGGAGGAGGTTGTCTTGACAATGACCCGGCATCGCCGATGGAGTCGGTAGGACACCCGTTATCCGAGTGTTTTTTAATGCACTCTGATCAAGAGTAGGTAAATTTTACCTTTTTATCTAATCCTTTTATTCATCATTCAACTTGTCATTGTCTGTCATTGAGTGTGAGTGTGTAAATGTTTGTGTGTGTATGTGCTGGTATGCAGCAGAGGTGGCCGGCACCATGTCAAGGTTGTTTCTGCTGTCAGGTAGCACGCGTTCACTGTCTGTGTGTGTGTGTGTGTGTGTGTGTGGGTGTGTGTGTGTGTGTGTGTGTGTGTGTGCATGTGTCTGTGTCTGTGTCTGCGGTATCCGGACAGCAGCTCTTACTCAGTGGGTAGAAGAGCGGAATTTCTGTCCCTCCACCTGGGAGCGAGACATACACTCAAACACACCTGCATACACACACACATGCACACACACACTCATTAATAACGTACAGACAGTTTCTCAGTCACTTTCTCTGTTTTTAAGACATTGTTTCACTTTGAGTCAAGTTGTTCTCCGGACAAAACAGCAACTCAGACAGAGTCCTCTACTTGTGTGTGTGTGCACGTGTGTTTTTATGAGTGTGTTCGTCCAAGCAGAGAATCAGAGAGGTAGCAGGGCATCGAGGTTACAAGAAAAACGTGGAGAGACGGGAGGAGAAGGGCCCGTAGGAGAGGAGGGAGGAGGAAAAGGGGGAGAGCTGCTCTCTTAAATGCCAGAGGAGGTAGAATTTCAGACGGGCAGCTCAGCGTGTGGCCCCGCACAGGAATTAGACACAGTTACACACACTCATACGTGTGTGTATGAGCTGCTCTTTTAGCCGACGCTTTGCTCTTTTAGGTGAATGTTGAAGACGCTGTTAAAAATGCAGATTAACTGATTTTTCGGAACAGACAGCAGTGTGTGTGTGTGTGTGTGTGTGTGTGTGTGTGTGTGTGTGTGTGTGTATGTGTGTGTTATTGTGCAAGTACCATGTAAGGTACGTTTTATGAAAATGCACAAAAGGACAAACAAAGTCAGAGAATATAGTGTCGTAAATCTACCATCATACGTACGCTGTCCTTTTTCAAACATTCCAATGTAAAGCATGGATTATTCTGAAGTGACCAGTGTAATTCAGTAGATGGACTGCACTCTCTTTCCATGTACGAACTCACTAATGGCACTGATACTGTCAAATTTGCGTTGCCATTAATTAATGGCAGGATTTCATAGTAATATGTATGAAAATAAAGAATGACTGTATACATAATTTCATTCTAAGAGGTCATGGCTTCATAGCAAATAGATTAAAATGAGGCAAACTGAATCACAGCCTCAGTTTGAGCGTCCTTACGGTAGAAAGTCGTCGGTGGTGAACAGAAAGGACAGCGTTGAATCAGAAGCCGATGCAGAATGACTTTCTGATGTGTTTCCTGAACATTATTGAGATGTTTAAAGAAAACTGTAGTTTTTTAGTGTACTTTGAAGTTGTCTGACCTTTGTATGTGTGTGTGTGTGTGTGTGTGTGTGTGAGTGTCTTTTACATGCAGAGACCCTCTAACCTACACAGTATGTGGAATAAAGAGGCAACATTTTTAAGTAAAACGAGCAGCTGGCGAAATCATTTATTTACCATTAAAACTTGTCTTTCTTCATTTTAGGAATCAGATTTTTGTTTGTTTCTTCTGATTTGATTTGCAAAACATAATAGATATTTGAAAATGCCTAAGGAGTGATTCCTTTCATGTAATTTTATACGTATTTAAACAATAATAATAAAACATACACCTTAAAGGGATTTTAATCATAAGTTTTTAAATAGCAGTGCAATTTCGTAAATTAGGCTTTTGAGTTTTCTTTGACCCGAGCAAAGACTCACTTTGTCAACAAAAGCCTTTTGACTTCAAACACTGATTTCATTTTGTAAATCATTTATTTTTGTAAAGTCAATCAAAGTATGAATTCAGAACATTTTCAACTGTAAGGACTCAACTCACTGTGTGTGAACAGAGTCTATGCGCTGGTCTCTCAACTGCAACACAGTGTGGTGTATTTTAAGAGCAACAGCAATTCAGGTTGGAAACATTGAACTCTGTATTCTGATTGTCAATTAGACAAGAACAGTGAACACTGTTGGCCAGGTTTTGATGAAGTGTTCAGCGTGAGAGCTCTGTTCAGAAATTAAGCACAGATATATTAACAGCAAAAAACACTTTCATGTCATGTGAGCAGTGGAATGTGTTGCTTTACCTGT